TGTGGGCGGTGTAAAGTGGGCGTGGCAATGTATGAGCTGGCAACTTTGTGTGCGCTTTGGTATTCTTTTGGGGTTATATGTGTCATAAAAGTGGCTACAAAGTGTGCCAGGTGAAGACTGATAGGCAACTAAATGCGGTTTGGGGAAGTTGAGACAATGGGTATCAGCCATAAATTGTGGTATCGTATATTATTTCAAGGGGAATGAATACTCCTTTGTTGCAGGATGATTGACAGCCATTGAAGTAGGGTTGAAATTAAAGGAATTTCTACATAATATTTGTTTTCAAAACCGGTTTATAGTTGTTGGAGGATTCAGTGAGTTTATTGATATATACTTTCGTGATCCCTATAATTTATTTACAATCAGGAGATGCCTTAATTTAAAATATTTGTATTTTGTAAACGCCTTTCAGGGTATTTATATTTAATGTGTTCTTCTATTTCTTTTAGTTCTTTATTTTAGTTCGTGAAAGAGATATATGATTAAACCCTGATATTTGGACCTTAAGGAAGTATGTACAAATATAGTTTACTTCACAAGTATACCTTGAAATAAGTAATAAAAAAAAGGCATCATTAGCTTAATAATAACTTATCTTAAAGATAGTCCTGCTTCTGCAGTTTGTACTTTAAATTAAGACATTCAATACCTTTCTCAGCTCATCTTCGAATATCACTACCTATAATGGTTGCTATTATTTTAGCCACTCCAAGCCAAGTAACAAATTCCTTTTTAGTTAGCTTCAGTTAGCTTTGGAGCACAAGGTATATTTCCTTGGCCCCTTCACCTCGTTTTAGCCCAATTTAGCTGCTTGGCCATTTTATTCCCTCGGCAATCGCTTACTTAGTCTGTTTGTTCAGAATTCCTGCACACTCTTACACACACACACACAACTAACTGGCTCGATTGGTAAAGATATCAAGTTGAAAATTGCCGGGGACACGCCCCCAAAAACACGACGCCCCCCATCCCGGAAAATAGCTTCATGCTCGCATCACAGTTTTGTATCTGTATCTTATAGATGGCCCCGGCAGCTAAGCCAAAAGAAATTCATCCATTACAATCAGAGGAACAACGGGGAAAACAATTTGAGCCAAAAAGTTGCCACACCCATCAACTGCCGCCCACTTTTCCACGCTGCTCCCCCCTGCTTTTGCTCTACTTTGTTTATCGCTCTTGACTTTGCTTGCTTGCCTCTTTTTTCTTGTTGTTTTCTATTTTCCTCTGTTATTGTTTTTTCCTGGAAGTTTATTGGCATTTAACCTGCAGCCCCGCCCACTTTGCCGCCCCCACAGCCTGATTGATTAGGTCGATCGGGAAATGCTAATTACTGTCTGCCCCCAAGGGCCATGGATTTTCCCCCTTTGGACAAAATGCAATTAAATTTTGTGTAATTTCGTCGCTTGGGAAAAATTCACAATTAAAAGTTTTTTTAATTGAATTTAAATTAAAATTAAATTTCATTGTGTTCCTGGTAAAAAAATGTATTTTGTTTTGACAGGTTTTATTGTCGGCTTTATTTAGCATCAAAATAAATAAATAAATATCTAATAAGAGATTGTTGAAATTGAAAATCTAAAATAAATAAATTGGCACTCTTGATTTAACCAATAAATTTTCCCCGAAAGCGTTCCATTTAATTATAGTTTTTAAGTAGATTTATTTATTAACCTTTTGATGCTGGCCAAATTAATTTAAAAGATTTTTCTTTTTTTGCATTCCCTTCTTCGGAAAAACTTTACGGGCAACAATTAAAAGCAAAAAGGGAATACGACAACATGGAAAAGTTTTGCATGGGTTAAGAGGGTGGAAAGAGTTTTTCGCTGCTGGGTGGTTTTTAATGCCGTTAACCCATGATTGCCCCACCATGAAGTTGGTGTCGCGTCCGCAGCAAAATCAAGTGAAGCATTTTAGTCAACCTAATTAGCAACTTGATGATTTTTTAACGCTCTATCGAGCACTGGCAATGATTTCATTAGCTCCGGGGAAAAGGGTTGGAAAATGCCAGGAACGTGGCTGAAAAGTGTGGGTGAACCGATGTGAAGTGCAGTGCAAATTGCCTCATGATTATTAAATTGCCTTGCTTGGTACAGCGTGGATTTAGTTTTTTGGGGGAATCGCTTCCAAAAACTTGTTGAGAAGTTCAGAATGTTGCAAATTAGTTGGCTTAACTTCGCTTAGTGGTTTAACCCAAGGATAGAGTGGTGGTGTTTTAGGTGTTACATGAGAACATTCTGGGGAATTTTGTGCATAAATTGGATAGGAGTTTTATTAGGCAACTTAATTGCGGCGAGAAAAGTGCATTACAGTTAAGAATGTATGCGAAATAAGATGTTTTAAATTTTAGAACATTTTAAATACCTTTAAATATCATAAAGCATTATTATCAGTACCAGTTAAAGTAATAAACAATTGGGAAATCAAAAATAAAGTCTTTAAAGAGCTATATCCATGTATAGTAAATATACTATTAATTCAATATTTTATATTATTACTTAAAAGGTTGCAATTGGTATGATTTTAATGCCCATATATACTTTTTATATTCACTTACCCTTCTCCAAATTTCGCCAGAATATTTTCCCCATCCATTAAACAAAACTGATATTGTTTTTTACCATATGAAAACTCAAATGAAGCGTAAAATTCAACACCTAATATACGTTTTATGAGCGAAGCGCACAGTCGGCTTTATAGCTTATCACCTACCGTAGCTCACCCCGAAAAACACACACACAAAAAATGCTCAACAATGATATAACAATCTTTACAATCTCTAAAACGAAAGAAAACGAAACTTGTTTGCCTTGGAGCTTACAGTAATCAAACAAGAAAGGCCTCAGGCAACAACATATAAAGATCAAAAGATGAGGGAAACGAAATTTAAGGAGAGGGGGAATTTGAGGAGACTTTTAAAGAAATTAAAGAACAAGTTACCCTACCCATGACTATCTATCAACCATAATTCGTTATAATCAGGCATCTTTAGCATCTCTGATTTAGGGGAAATCTCTTATTGATCGCCTGACAAATCCTATTTGCACGCTCAGCTTGGAAAAATCAATTTTCCACAAAGAAAACTACATATGAGAGAATCATAAAATGTTTATAAGTCTTCATTTGCGGCCTCAACCCTTCTGTAGTTTCCTTCTTTTATCATCGATCAGTCTTAGGCTGAGCCACTTTTTTATGATCATGCTAAGAAGTTTAGCTTCCTTCCAAATCGGTGACTCACTAGGTGGAACCTTTTTCCCATTTTTATTTCTATGCGTTTCGTTTAATGGCAATTAGTTGGAAAATTTGTTCTTGATTGCTACTTGCTTGCTCTTTTGGTGGCCGACTGCACAAGGATATTAAATTCTGGTCTTCCTGGAAATCACACATTTTGTGGTTCCAAATAAAGAAATGAGGAAAGTAAGTATAAACGCACTAAAGATGTGTAGTTGAGGTGGAAATAATACACAATCTCATTATGATTATGTTATGTAATGAATGTCTGTGCAACTGCCCACACGAAAAGCGGAAAATCAGCAGCCAACGCACAGCAATCATGAGCAGTTCAGAACTCGAGAAGAACTTCCCAGGCGACACAGGGGAAAACTTACAAGACATGGGCGTAAAGTCGAAGCTGTTGATGTGGTTTCAAATGAAGATGATTGCTACAGTGACAGAAATAACTATTTGGGAATGGGATATGAAAGGGTGGAGTAAATAAGGTTGTAATTAAAAATCTCACATTTAAACATATATATTCAAACTGCATATTAGTTGATGGTGTGTTAATTTGCTGTTTTTTTATAGCATTAATATTTGCTTTGAACTTGTAGTTAAATTGAGTTTTTTCAAATATTTCCTTCTTTTTAATAAAATTTTCCTTAGTGCTTAGTTTTCTGTAAGGTTGCAGCCTCTGTAGATTGTGTGGGAGATTACTGACATTTTATTTTATGATGCTACATGAACACTGTCCAACTGAAATTACATTTTTTCCCGGTGAACTGGTTAAGCTAACGATTTTCTGGGCTGATCGGTGGGATTTACTACTAAGATGTTGTTTTGATTTACATGATTTCCCTAAACTCCAAGTGTGGCTGGCAACATGTTGCCAGAGCCGATGCGCTCTCTTGTGGATTGCAGCCTAAGAGGCTAACGGAAATGTTGCTCGCCTAGTTGCAGCTCTAAACATTTGAAACAGACGTTGCTGCTATTTTAGGCTATAATTAAATGTATTTTTCCCTTAAGTAACAATTTTTAAGCTGATTGCTACTATTTAATAAAACTTTATTTTTAAAGACAACTGATATCCCAGAAACTTTAAGTGAGGCTGGCAGCATGTTGCGCCAGAGTCAATGCGCTCTCTCTTGTGGATCGCAACATGTGTTGCGAGTGTAATTTGTTGCTGGCAGTGGCTACGTTATCAACATTTTCTGCCGGGCGCGCATCTGCCTCAGAATCCAATCCATCGAGATCCCGTGTGTTAGTCGTTATCTGTAAGTCGTCGGGAATTGTCTCTCCATTTACCTTAAGAGCGAAAAAAGCATCAATGCTGTACCGCCATATGGCAAAGTGAATCAAAACAAACAAGCCGATTGCACAAACAACCAGAAATATATATATATATATGCATATATGTATATCGGAGAATATGTACTGGAAAGTGCGTGAGTGGCTTTTGTGAGTGTGTTTTTCTTGCCTTTGGCATCGCGTCCAAAGTCACGTGGATTTTGCGGAAGATTTACGTTTGCATAAATTGGTGAAATTAAAATCAAATTTAAAATAATCAAAGTTTGTGGAGGAAAGAAATTGAAATTCTTAAACACAATATTCTTCACATAAAAAATGTGATTTTTATAAAATTAATAAACTGTGCGAGAGTAAAAATAAATAAATAAACATAGAAGAAGGAAACATAAAATTGTGATTTAAACAAAATATTAACAACTGAATAAAAGTGAAATCTGTTCGATAAAAAATATACAAATCTTAAAAAAAATTATAAATAAAAGACCTTATTGATTTTTAAAATTCTAAATAAATCTCATTCACAATTTCTGCAAATATTGCTCAATTATTCAAGCAAATTTGATTCTCCATCACTTAATAACATTTTATAAATAAACACAACGAATTCCTCGATGAATTATTTTAGTGAATCATTAAAATTCCGCTTAAGTGATTTACTATCAGATAAAAAGCAACATATAAAAATATGCAAATAAAGTGGCGCACAGAATAATTATCGCTTAAATATACGCTTAAGTGAACAATTAAAATTCCTTTTCAAAATATATAAAAGGATTTCTTGAATTGTCAACAAGTGTCAAAATATGATGAGCATAATTTATTTCTGATTGGCGGACAAAAGGAACGGAAAAAAACAAAACGACAAAGAAAAGTGCACAATAAACGCGCGTGAAAATCCGGGAAAACAAAGAACACAGAAAAATTATCAAACGACGGAATATAAAAAAACAACGCGAAAAGAACAGCTATGAATTCCCTGAGGGGAAAGCTAATATTACCCAAAATGATTGGGCTGCTTCTGCTGTTCTTGGTCCCCCTGAGTGGGGCCAACTTGAGTGATCCGAAAGGAGCTGGCATAATGACCACCACGGCTCCGGCTTCAGGTCACCGCAGCTCCCACCAGCAGCTCAGATTGCAGCAACTGCAGGAGGCGCAGCAATTGGAGGCCCATCAGCAGCACCATCATCATTTGCGGCACGAGCAGCACGTGCGTGCCGAACTGGAGGGCAATCATCAGCCGCCAGAGATTGGAGAAGCTGGAGCAGGAGCAGGAGCAGGAGCAGGAGGCGGTGCCCAGAAGTCCTTCGATCCCCATTTGCCCATGCAGCAGCATCACTTGCGTCACCACAATCGTCATCATATGAGCTGGGAACAGAGGGTTTTCCCCTCTCTGCGGCATCAGCAGCATCGTCTGTCCATTGCCACCACCACCACCAGTATCCCCAGGAATATAGTGACCTCCGAGGCGCCCACAACCAGTCATCATGGACTGGTCTCGAATCACACTCGTTACTTTGACCGGGAAGGTATATATCCCTCGTGGGCTGAGCCCCGATCCACCCGCGGTCCCAACTGGCGGCAGGAGTTGGATTCCAGTAGCTCCGATGAGGACAGCGATGAGGATGATGACGATGATGAGGACTACGAGTACGATGATGAGGCCAATTCCAATGCCGTCGATGAGGAGCTGGCAAGGCAAATGCCTAGATACTCATTGTTTACCCAAAAGCGACCCCTCATCGAATCGAAAGATCTGGATTATGATGGCTACGATCAAACAGATGAGGTGGATATAGATCTGAACAAGAATCACAATAGTAATAAACATCCCAGTGTGGCAAATCCGCATGACAAATCAGCTGGAAAGAGGAATATTTTCGATTGGCTATTCAAGCAGGACAAGGAAAAGGAGCTGGTAAAGAAGCCACATACCACCAGGGGCCCAATTACAACCACAACCACAAGCACCACATCAACCACAACCATTAAGCCCATAGTTCGAACCGAAAAGCCCAAGCTCCAATTGATAGATGCCAATCTGCAGATAAATCCGAGGAACAATGACGATGACGAGGACTACTCCAATGAGGACTCCGATTCCGAGTCGGAGGAGGGTTTCTCCAACGAACAGTGGAATAAGATCGAGCACGAGCATCATTTGAAGCAGCAGAGACATCAGAAGGAACTATTGGCACTCCGTGAGAAAAGCAGGAATACGCCGCTCATCAGAAGCATTGATAATGAGGTGAGTCTCTGGCATTGCGCCCATTGTTCTAAACTAACCTAACTGATAAGGCATCCCCGCATCCAAAGCATTCCGTCGATTTCATTATGATGTCATTAGCTATTGTTTGTTGCTCTGACATTGCTCCACTGGGGAGACAGGAGCGGTTTCGAGGGGTCTGATAAGAAATTCTCTTTATAAACCGAACACAGTGTTTATTCTATGGCAAAACGTTGGCCACAAATGACCAACAGATTTTTGGTTCCAATTCACATTTTGGGTTTTGGTTTCACGTTTGATGTCGGTGGTTAGTCACGCAGTAAATCCATTGGTAAACTTATATGTCTATGAACACTGAAATATTTGAAGAGTTCTTTAAAAATATGTATATGTAAGAAGAAAACCTATGTTCTTAAGAGATTAATGAAGATGAATTGGTGTCATCTCAAAGGAATTTATCTCCAAAAATGACCTTACTATATACTATATTATATTTAAAACTTTTAAGCACAAGTTTCTCTCTGTGCATTGCCGCTATTCACCTCGACATAACGCACTGACCATGGCTAATGCCGTTTGCATTTTGGCTTACAACAAAAGCAGATATGTTTTGCTTTACTCTTGTGTTTTGGTGCTCATGTCAAATATTTACACACGGTGCAAAAGGCCAAAGGGGGGATGGCTTTGTAATAGGGTGGTAAGGGGGAGGCGAGGGGCTTTTGCCATGGTCAGTGAAGGGGAAAGGGTAAAGGATATAGCAGCTGCTTTTGGCAAAGTTTGCAGTTTTACGCTGACCATTCGCCAGTCACCACCATTGCGGCTTTGGCTAATTGAAACCAGCGGGTACAACAACAAATTACACAAACAAAAGTCAACAAAAAAAAGAACATCAACAACAACTATAGCAACTACAATTAATTTGTTGCATTCGATTTGCACTTTTTGACTGCCATTTCATTTTGTTTGCTTTGAGCTGTTGTCTGTTGACAGAGGTTTCACATTTTATTTTTGCTCATTTCTGTCCCAGTTAACTGCATTTTCATGTGTTTCTTTGATCCGCTGGCCCTCAGGTCACTGGCTTTCACAACCACTGACCACCCCCCACGGCCCCACCTAGATTGGTGTAATTACCTTAAAAAAGGACCAATTAAATTAGCCCTTAGGCAAATAATGTTGGCTGTCATCGACGGGTAAATTAAACTTTCCGGTCTTGTTCTATTTTCGCCTTGTTTTTAGTGTTATTTGTTTATTTTTATTGGTACAACAATTGGCATTTTAGTGCAGAGAAAATGGAGTTTAGTTGTTTATATGGTCATTGAAATGAGACTTTACGCCTTTAATGTCCTTAAGCTATCGGTTGTCATTAATTTAAGCCGAAATAATACATTAAACAGAAGCATTTTAGTAGCAAAGTACAAATTTTAATCATATTTAATTTACAACAACTTTTTTATGAATTGAATTTACATTTTGTATGAAAAGTTAAACAGCATCAAATTAAAATCCTAATCTACCCATAAGCTACCTATATTTTACCCTTCTACAGAGTTATTAACATTTTCCCCATGTTAAACATTTTATAGCTCATTCAATATACATTTTTCTGGTTCACAAAAAAACACACAATATATATAAAAATAAATTTAAATTATAATCCCAACATTTAAATTTGAATTGAGAAACATGCACTGACAATAATGTGTATATGTGCTCAAAATGCGAAACGCACTCGAAATATTGTTAACAGCTAAATAAACACTTGGCTAAAACAACAGGTTTAATAAGAGCAACAATAATTACCAGGTGCAACAACAACAAGAACCAACAGCTGGGTGCAAAACAACATAAAACAAAAGTTGAACAACAGGAAAAAAAAAACGGGAGAGTTTTCCGAGGTGAGGTGAAAGGTGGGACGCCAGGTGAATTGGCGCTGAGCCATCAAAATAACATGGCGCTTGGCCCGCCCATTTTTCCGACCCATTTTCCTGCCCCTTTTTTTACCCAACCTCCCAGCATTTTCAGAACAATACAATTAACACATGTCTGCGGATGACGATGGCTACTCGGCAGGATGTGTGTTTCTTTCACCTTTCCCACTTCCGCTTTTTGCAGCACATCCTTCCTTCCTTCCGTTGGTCCTTCCGCCCTTTTACCCGCCTCCCAAGGCCCCCCAAAGCCCAATGCCCAATGACATGCTAAATGGGAGTTCTCGGCCACATTCCAAATGGATGTCCATCGCATATAGCCATGTTTACATGCCACCGACTCCCTGCTTGCCTTCCATTTAATTGGCAGCTTTTTAAGGTTTTTACTTATTTCATTTCGTTTCGTTTTTTGGTTTGGAAGTATATTTTATTTTCTGGTTTGCCTGTTAATTAACAACCTCTTCTACTGGCATCGTTGTGAATGCATTTTAATTAACATTTGAAACTCACTGTAAAGAAATAATGGTTTTAATGCAACTTTCTTAATTAAAATGAGGAAAATGCAAAGAATTTGGTGTATGTTTTGTAAATAAAATAAATCCCCTGCTATTTCCAGCGTTGTAAATGTAATATATTTATTGCAATTTGTAACATTTGCCTCCAGAATTCTTAGGCATAAAATATTATTTAAGTCATAATCCCTCATATCACAAAATAATCTTCTTGAAGTGCAGAAAAGCAATTCTTTAATGCTTTTTCGCACTTGTCCAAATAAAATTAAATATTTAAGAGATCATCAGAGAATCAAATCCCATCGCTGCGTGTTCTGTTGAAAAATGTTTAACATGAAATCCTTGTAATCCCTTAAACCAGTTCCGTTCCATTCGAGTTTGTTTGAGTGCAGCAAACCGAAAACAGAGAAAAAGTTATTTCCAATTCAAATACAATTTTTGTATTTTTTGTTTTATTTTCTGGCTAGTAGCTTACGCCTTTCAGGTTTGATACAGGTGTTGGACAAATGTTTGTTCCTAACCAATTGTTGGCCATTTTCCAATGCAATTGGTTCAGGCTTTTTTTTTGGGCGTAACTGTAGTTGAAGGTTGGTGAGTGAGTTGCTGAGACCTTGAAAGGTTTTCCATCCGAACTTTCCACAAACTCTAATGCACATCCCTCATTTTCACGTACACTGGCGTTCCAGGATATCAGGATACGTTCCCTCCCCCTAAAAGCTGTCATATACACAAGTGCTGTCACTTTCCTCCCAGGTTTTCCAGTTTTTCCATCTTCTCTTGTTGCACTTCATGTTGTGCTTTTTTTTTGTTGCTGTTAGCCAGCTTTTAGTCTGCCTTTTGTGACTGCCTTTTTCTATACTGCCTACTTGCTTGTTTTTCTTCCTGTTTCGGTGGCTTCCTTCCTTTATTTTAGCACTTCTTTTTTGTTGTTGCGCCATACGACAGATCTTTGGAAAAGTGAAAAAGACCCCACAGTGAGCTTAGCCTTTGTACGATGAAATGTCAGAGGCGGTTAAGGAATGACAACTGAAGCCACACACAAACATGTACACACACAGAGAAGACCGAGAGTTCATCGCTTACCACCCGTCGGGGGAGGGGGCCTGAAGGTTGTCGCTGTGGTTGCAACGACCTTGAAGCAAGCTCAAGCAGCGGGAGCCATCATGGCCCACAAGAGTGGTAACAATTATGGAGGCTCGTTGACAAAACGAGGCAGGGAATTTGAATACCACTCAAAGTAGATGGATGGAAAAGCAAAATAATTATAGTCAAGCTTGATATGGCATACAGTTTTACCAGTTTGAGTTAAATGTTAACAAAAGAGTGGAAAGATAATAGTATTATAATCTCTGAAATATTTTAAAGATTGAAAATATATTTTCTATACATGCCTAATACTAATTTTCTTCACTAAATCATATTTATATTATTTTGAAAATATTTTGTTCAGCCGGAAAAAGGTTGATCGATTCGCTTATAAATGCTGATTTAGAATATAAATATGTGATATGATATATGATTTATAGGATCGAAAACGGTTCCTTCATAGTGTTACAAGCTTCTGTCTTAAGTTATAATTCCCTGTAAGGGTATAACCTACTCATTTTCAACAAGTAACTACTATAATTACCTTTTGCAATGGTTGCAAAATTCACATCCCTTTTGCATGCTAGTTAAAATGTTGAAACACTATTGGCAGTTGTTATACGTAATGCAACCTGACATAACAATCTCAGGTCTCAACAGTAATAATATTTACAGGAGTGCAGCATCAATAAGTAAACATAAGCTGTGAGAAGACATCTCATATATATTAAGGTGCTGACAAACAATGGTTGCCAATAATCAAGTCTTGCTTGCATTTGTTACCTCTAAAATTGAAAGATATTTACCCTTGTTATGAACAGAAATTCTGAGGCTAGCTATTGTTTATTACCTTGCCTCCCACAAAAGTTGATGGTTCCTTTTTCAAAATATTTTTTCCTTCCTTTCTGACAGCCTTTACTGCCTTTAGTTGATGCTTTTCGTTCAGTAATTACTCTTGCAGACGTATCAGCAGAAATTACTTGATTATTTTTTTTAGATTTTTCCTTCTGGCCGTTTGCTGTGGATGACATTTTGCAGCTAATTTCCACTCACATTTCATACATTTTCCGTTTTGGCCTGTTATTGGCAGTGCAATTTCTGTCCACTTCTCTCCATTTTTCCCATGTTTATATATTTTTTCTCCTGTTTCGGTTGCTGTTTTTTCTCTTTGCCAGCGGCATTCATTAGTTGCTTTCGCCCCTCGGAGGAACTGTGAGTATATCATTTGGAAAGAATTTTCCGCATTTCCCCATAAAAAAATACTTGACTGCCGCCGCTCTCTCGCTCGTTGAGTTTCCTTCATTCGCTAGTGCCTTTCTTGGACATTTTCCATTGCACAACTTGTGCTTATTGTCTCCAGATTGCTTGGCACTCGCTTGTTTTTCCAACGATTTTGATGTTATTTTGTTTCTGGTTTTTCTTTTTCGGGCGACTTTTTAAGCCGGCGCGGGTCTTGACTTGTGCTTGTGCTCCCCATAATTTATAGCAGCTTCTAATATAAATTTCAAGAAATTATTTTCCCACTCTCTTCGGGAACCGA